AAGGATAGGTTCCTGGGTTACTACCTTCCTCCTTCCTCTATTGGTTTGTTGTGTAACCACGTAATATGGTTCACCCGTTACTCATTATCCATTGGAGGAAGTGTTGTCATTTTGAAAAATTGATCTACTGTGTTGAAAATAACCTCCAAATAGCTGTTAATGAAACAATGACCATAAAAAACTATTAGGGCTGTTGTGCTTATTTGCACAAAGATGATTGGGGTTGACACTCTTTGTTTCTTACCTCTCTTTTTGATAAAGTGCTTTATTAACTTTATGGGTCTTTATATATTACTGGATGTATTTGCCTTGCATGTTTGCTTTAAAAGTTGTACAGTTTTGTCCACTTAAAAACTTTATACTAATTAAACAAGTCCTATAAATTTAAGACTTTATATTGTACTTGCATTAAATTTAACAGCTGGTCTTGCTAATATTGGATGTGTGAAGTGCATGAATTCCCTTGACCTTACATGAACAGGTCCCCACTGGGATGTTTGATTTGGAAAGCCTGTAGAGGGATAAACGCTAATGACTGAGCAACAGTTAAATTAACGAGATAACAGCATGGTACAGTCCAGTGGGATCGCTTGAGTTTTGAAAAGACCATAGCTCTCCTTATATGTCTGGGTCAGTAGAGGTTAAGCTAATAGCAAGTCTTAAATCACCCTATGGTGACTGATTTATGGAATGGTGTAAGTGTCTATTATAAAAGGAGGTGTACTTGAGCAATGGCATCCGTGAAGTAGAGACTATAAATTAGAGGAGATGGAGGTGAGGTAAAAATTTATATCCTAAAATGTGAAGAGATCTCCATCAATCTTGGACCATTGGGATTAGAAAAAAGAAAAGAATACTTTCTGGATTCTATTATCTTTTTTGGGGAGGAATCCTGGAATGGTAATTGTATAACAGGTGATACTTTTGGCACTGGATTCAGTCCCCATTGAAGTAAATGGACTTTGGGTCCTTTTCTTTTCCTTTCTTTCTTTTTCTAAAGGCTAAAAATAGTATGAAATCTAGCCCTCCAATACCCCTTTTCCCCAGAAAAATCCCTTATATAATGTAACAATGCATTGATCAATTTAGTTGCTAGTTTAAAATCTAAAACCCATTTTGGAGTATAGAAAATTAGTCAACTTTATGTAGACACGTGGTTCATTAATGGAGAAATGCACTTGAGGGTGACGGGGAACTAAATGATTAAAACAAAATAAGCAACTAAGGACTTTTTCTTTTACTATTTTATTTCTCTTATGCTATGATATGTAGATGTGTTCATTGCTTGGCTCCATCTTATTTGTTTTATATTTTATCCCTTTCATACAGAAAATATGTTTCAAACAAAGGACAGACTATTAGTTTTGAAATGTCTAAAACCAGAACTGAGAGATTGACTTCTCAGGCATCAGCCTTCAGATAACTGGAATGTGACCTACTGTATATACTCGTTCATAAGCCGAATATTTCTAATAAAATAATAATAATAAATAATTAAAAACTGATGCATCAAAGAGCGGGGGTCTGCACCAAAAATTGATGATTTTAAACTCTATGGAAGCATTGAATTGAATATCTAATACTTTGTCGTTTTGTTTACCTGGAGCATTCACAGGCACAGAGCCCCTCAGCCTGTGAACGCTCCAGGTAAACAAAACGTCCAGGCCCGCTAGAGTCTTGTCCTAATGGGCCAGGAGCCAAAGTTTGCCAACCCCTGAAATACAGGATCGGCTTATGAAAGGATCATACAGTTTTTGCTATTTTTATCTAACCATCTTGGGGGGTCGGCTTATAAACGAACGGGCTAATGAACAAGTATATACGGTACTTGTTCCTAGAAGCAGACAACATTGTCTAGTTTTAGTTCATCTTTTCTCATAGGAAGCCCTGTCTGTGTAAAAAGAATTGGAATTGTGACTGCTCAGTATTGTCTGCAGTTTCGGATTGAGTGCCCCTCATTATACTGTTTGCCTTATTCTCAACTGTGCTGATGTAAGATAGTAACTGCTGTTCCCACCCTGAGAACGAGAGAGGACTTTCCCAGTGAGCAGATACTTTAAATAAATCCTAGATTTCCATTTTAAGTACTAAGATGACTACCAAGAATGATACAGTGTAAAAAGCCCAGCCAGAGAGGAACTGCATCTTCAAATAACTGTTAGAAATCTAAAAACTGAATTGTTGACTGCATTGGATCTTAGATTGGCATTTATAGACAATTGATCTCTGGAATAATATTTCCTGACTTTGAACCACATAAAACGCATTCCATTTAATGTAGGGCTGTTGATTAATCGCAGTTAACTCACACGATTTAATCACGATTAAGCGCAGTTTTAATTACATTGTTAAACAATAGAATACCAATTGAAATTTATTAAATACTTGTGACTGTTTCTCTACATTTTCAAATATATTGATTTCAATTACAACACAGAATACAAAGTGTACACTGCTCACTTTGTATTATTATTTTTATTACAAATATTTGCACTGTAAAAATAATAAACAAAGAAACCGTATTTTTCAATTCACCTCATACAAGTACTGTAGTGCAATGTCTTTATCATGAAAGTGTAACTTACAAATATAAATTTTTTTTTTGTTACATCACTGCACTCAGAAACAAAACAATGCAAAACTTGAGAGCCTACGAATCCACTCAGTCCTACGTCTCATTCAGCCAATCACTAACACAACCAAGTTTGTTTATATTCACGGGAGATAATGCTGCTCACTTCTTATTTACCAATGTCACCAGAAAGTGAGAACAGGCTTTCGCATGGGACTTTTGTAGCTGGCATTGCAAGGTATTTACATGCCAGATCTGCTAAACATTCATATGCCACTTCATGCTTTGGCCACCGTTCCAGAGGACAGCCTTCCATGCTGATGACACTCGTTTAAAAAAAAAATGCGTTAATTAAATTTGTGACTGAACTCCTTGGGGGAGAATTGTATGTCTCTGGCTCTATTTTATCTGCATTCTGCCACATATTTCATGTTATAGTCTGGGATGATAACTCAGCACCTTGTTCATTTTAAGAACACTTTCGCTGCAGATTTGACAAAACTCAAAGAAGGTACCAATGTGAGATTTATAAAGACAGCTACAGCCCAGAACCAAGGTTTAAGAATCTGAAATGCCTTCCAAAATCTGAAAGGGATGAGGTGTGGATTATGCTTCCAGAAGTCTTAAAAGAGCAACACTCTGATGCGGAAACTACAGAACCCAAACCACCAAAAAAGAAAATCAACCTTCTGCTGGTGGCATCTGACTCAGATGATGAAAATGAACATGCGTTGGGCCGCGCTGCTTTGGATTGTTGCCAAGCAGAACTCGTCATCAGTATGAATGCATGCCCTCTCGAATATTGGTTGAAGCATGAAGGGACATATGAATCTTTAGCACATCTGGGATGTAAATATCTTGCAACACTGGCTACAACAGTGCCATGAGATCACCTGTTCTCACTTTCAGGTGACATTGTGAACAAGAAGCGGGCAGCATTATCTCCTGCAAATGTAAACATACTTGTTTGTCTGAGGAATTGGCTGAACAAGAAATAGGACATAGTGGACTTGTAGGCTCTAAAGTTTTACATTGTTTTATTTCTGAATGCAGTTATTTTTTGTACATAATTCTACAGTTGTAAGTTCAACTTTCATGATAAAGAGTTTGCACTATAGTACTTGTATTAGGTGAATTGAAAACTACTATATCCTTTGTTTTTTACAGTGCAAATATTGTAATCAAAATAAATATAAAGTGAGCACTGTACACTTTGTATTCTGTTTATAATTGAAATCAGTATATTTTGAAAATGTAGAAAATGCCCAAAAATTTAAATAAATAGTATTCTATTATTAACAGCGCGATTGATCACTATTCATTTTTTTAATTGTGCGATTAATCGCGATTAATTTTTTTAATTGCTTGACAGCTCTAATTTAATGTTATACATCAGTGATATGCAGACCTCAGTGTTCAAGAGCCGAATTAGTGATCAACGTTACCCAAAAGAGCGACAGCAGTGTGACTTCATTGTTTCATTTACTGTGTGTGTGTGTGTGTATGTGTAAGTAATATTCTCACAGCAAAATGACCAAGTATTATTATTTTATCAACTGCAGTTGGTTTATAACATAGTAAAAGCATCCTGATTGGTTAATAATTAAATCACACAGTGTTTTAATAGCATGTGCTGCAAAGAGCTACTGGAGACACATTAAAGAGCCACTTGCAGCTTGTGGGTCTCAGTGTGAGTATCACTTTTATACGTGGTAAATAGACCTGAGAAAGCATCAGGTTGTTAGATCCTAATAAAATTCATTAATTAAAAAAGGAATGTGGGTTAATGGTAGAAGAGGAGATAAGAAAAGAATCATCCATTTAGTTTCATAAAACTACTAATGGATCATTTAGATGGAGGTTTGAGGTTGTCTATGGGACTATGAAAAAACGTCCTATTTTGATCTCTGGTACAAGGGTGTGCACAGATAATCCATTGCTTTTGCTGATGTGTGCAGTTAAGCTAGTGGCACATCTTAAAGCATCCTTTGATTTATTTTACACCATAGTATAAGTTATAATACTGCAATAGCATCTGGAGGCCGTAGCTACTTTGTGCATGGCACTCTAAAAACATAACAAAAATATGGTTCCTGCCCTAAACAGTTTACAAACTACAAATTAATTTTGAGTTATGAACGCCATCATCTGTGTGTTAAACCTTGAGCTAAACATTGCTATGTAAAAAGAAGGATAGTTGGTGGAGAGCCCCCAGGCATGCTACCCTCCCCAGCACCATCAAAAGTCATTTACTTAAAGGGTTCATCCCACCCAGGTCAAGATGTTCAAACCCTTTAGTTGGATTGCTTAAATTTCCACAAGTTTTCTGCTTCATAATCCTACATTCCGTATAGCAAACAGAGGTTTTTCTAGGACACTAACACTATGGGTGACAATATTGCTTCTCCAAAACTGTGCTTCCCGTAGGGCATTAGGGAACCATTAGGTTGTTATCAGTCCTTCATTATTGTAGAATCTGAGCACCCCCCTTGGTGTTTTACTTACATCTTGGTCTTCCATCAGCCTGAGAGACTGTAGCCTGGGCCTCCCTGAGGCCTTATTAAACATGGGCTATTAGCAAGTGTACTATGGTTTAATAAATTATGTCAATTATAGTGGATCTGGCATGACTGTTAGTTTATGCTTCTGGAATGTGTACATCTCCCGTGTTCAACAACTCTCGTGTAATTTTATTGTATGGCATATTTCCCAGGGCTTACAAAACAGAACTTGAATTTAAAAGATTACATTTTTTTTGGTAAAGGTTTAGCTTTCACTCTTGTTGTATTTTTAGGCCAGAGTAAGTTCTGAGCAAGAGCACTTCCTGATTGTACCTTTTGGACTTCTTTATAGTGAGGTTTCTGCATCCAGTTTGGTAAGTGCTAGTTTCTTTTTCTGTACCAAGAGAACATGGATATAAACATCTAAATTCTGTCTAGCATATATGTATGTTAAACTTAGATAAGCATGTTTTAGAAAATACTACAAGTTATTTTCTGCTGCAGTCTCATGGCCAGAACAGTTTTGTTGCATGTTTTTTTTTAAAGAGTTTGACTGATTTCAGTATCCTTCATGCTGGAAGTAAAATACTTCTCTTTTAATGGACATAAAATTTCAGATTGTAATTTGAGTGTAAACTCTTGGTCCTTAGTTTTTTTTCATATACTAAAATAAATCTACATTATCCTAAATTTTAATTTGAGGTATTAATTACATAAAAACTGCACAAGACTGAGAATGGAGAATTCTTGAGTTCTAGTCCTTTCTCCAACATTAATTCCGTCTGTTACCTTGGGCAATTTCTGTAATCTCTCTTCCTCAGTTTCTTCATGTACTTACAGTACCTGTTTTGTAGGTTAATATATATTTATAGTTTTAATGATTTTGCAGTGATTTCACGACATGAAGTGCTAAGTATTTCCTTTGCTGCCTTTAATTCTGGATTACAGAAAGACAATAGATTTGGATTAACCAAGTATATTCTCTTTTCCAGATCTTGTTGAAAATAAATAGTAGTGCATAATAACAGGCCTACACCTAGGGCAATGGGACTGTGGTGACAGATAGCCGAAAAATCAAGTTGGCACAGTTGTGTCAAAGGTTATAATTTTGTTTTTGTCATGTGACTTTCAGATATTGTTTGTGGGAGGGTAGTGTTGTTATGAAGCCGCGTCTGCAACTAAAAATCTCTTTAAATAAATAAAATAAAGCCTAGTGATGCAAGACTGCTACTTCTAATCAAGCTCGAGGAAGATCCAGCAGTGACTCAGAGGCTTGCATACTGCAGCACCCCTCAAAAGGACATAAAGCCATGGTACTATCCATGGCAATGCTGAAATAATTTAGCACTAAGACTAATTCATTACTTATGCCTGTAGTGGCCGCAGATCCCCAAACTAGATGTCTTAGTCCTCTCTGACACTATTTTGGGAAACTGCATAGTTCTGTCTAAACTGGTGTTAGTATGGCTTGAGAACAGGATAAAGGAGAAAAGAGGGAAAATAACTGAACTCTGTATATTATTGTCTGCAACAATTAAAGAAAATCAAGACATTACCTGTAAGACTGAACTTCTGGAAAACCAAGCATTCAATACAAATCTGTGGCTAGGGGGTGTCCCAATAAGCCTAGAGGGCAAGAATTTAATTGCATTTCTTAATCAACTAGTATCTAAGGTTCTTAAAATTAAACACTGATGATGGTCCAATTTACATATAAAGAGTCTACAGACTTTCAAAGACAGCTTTAGTTGCCAATCAAAGACCAAAGTAAAGTATTCTATACATAGTCTCAAAATTTATTGACAACATGTAGATACTTGTTTGCAGCCAGAAAGGAAAAAGAAATCAAGTATAAAAAGGATCAGATTTCTTTCTTTCTAGATTTGGGATTAATCAATGAGGAAAAAGAGGGGCCTGAATAACATTCCAGGAGCTGAATGTTAAGGGAACCTTATTATTAGCAGCTAAAAAAAGTGACCTGAAAAGAAATAGGCAAAGAAGTGAGCTTGTACTCTTTCTTGCTGCATTATGATGCATAAAAGAGGACTGAAAGGTTTTGTGTTAGTTTTCTAAAAGGCTTTTTCTCCTTGCTTGTTTTTTTACATTAGTAATTCAGGCCGTGTCTAGGCTGAAAGACATTCTGATCAGTGAAGAACTAGTGGAAATGTCATCACAAGAATCAAGGGAGTGAAAGTTGAACAATGTAGAGGGGGGAAATAATTTGTTTATACAATTGCTTGTTGATGGATTTGATTTCTTACAAAAGAGCAATGATATAGAAAGCTCATTTGGTGTTACTGTAGACCAATTCTACAGCTGTTTAAAATATGTTGATCTTAAAGCTTAATATTGTTGCTGTTAATGACATTGGTTTATATACGTTTATATATAACATACTGTTATGTAGTATGATATTGTTAAAATACAATAATATAATTTTAAAAACTGCTATAGGAAGATGCTGAATTAAATACATTTGGGACAACAATAACTTATAAAACTTTTTATTACAATGTTTTCTTATATTGTCAGGTTAAAATCAATATTCAAGGAGATATAGTTGATCGTGGAAGCACTAACCTGGGAGTAAACCAAGCTGGTTTTACGTTGCACTCTGCAATTTATGCTGCTCGACCTGATGTTAAATGCATTGTTCATATCCATACACCAGCAGGGGCAGCGGTAAGCAGTTCCTCTTACTGTAGATTTTAAGAGAAGTGTAGCTGGTCCCAAGTAGTCATATAATTACTTTGTAGTTTAAGGGCTTGATCCCCTGAAACCAGTATTCTAATGAGGAGTCCTATTTGAAGTCAAATAGTTAATGAGCGTGTGAGTATTCCTGTGAGTGCTTGCAAAATTGGGCCGTACTGTAGAAATAGACCCTATCTGTGCTAATGTTGTTTATGAATATGAAATCTTGGATCAATATTTAGAAATAACACTAGACAAATGGCAAATTTCAGATTGTAATAGAACCTTTTCAGTCAATGGATCATAACAAGGTAAAGTGTCCTCCAGTGGCCCAGTAAGGCACACTTTGTAATATTTTCTGCATATATATGCTATGTATTGGAGTACTTGCGTCCTATCTACATTTTGTTCTGGTAGCACATCTGTAACTGATTCACAGCACAAGTAGCAGCATTGATCTCAAACAGTGGGCTTTGTGATGACCATGTTGACTTGTAGATCCCTGTTTTTATCCATCTCCAAGAACAACTAGTTATAAATCATTATCAATTCCACCTCAGAAGCTTTTTTAGGAGCCAACCCAGTGACTGAGTTTCAAATATTCAGGAAATTGCTTTATTGCAGTTCTTATTTTGATATTTTTCTTATTAAATTGATTCAGAACAGCAATAAAATGATTTTAAGGTGGATAACAAGACCCAAATTGAGTAAATTCCAAATTTTGGATCATATTCTGAGGATTTTAAGCTATAAAAATGATTGTCGTTTTTAACCATGATTTTGTGTAATAAGCTGCAGGAAAGCTTGTCACTTATAATCTTATATTTTAAAATATTCACTTAAAAGAGAGTATGAATTAAGGGTAAGAGGCTGATTTTCTAAATCTTTTCACATTTCTGTCTTGTCTTCTGACCAATCTTCAGTTCTCCTGCTTTTAAATGTCTCAGTTGTATTTAAATAATATTAACAATGAAATTTCACCCTCCACTTCACTCATTAGTGTATATAATGTATACCAATGACTTCTTGTTTTTATTTACTTCTCTCTCAAAATCTACTATTATGTTTCTCAGGTTTCTGCAATGAAGTGTGGTCTCTTGCCAATTTCACCAGAAGCACTCTCTCTTGGAGAAGTGGCCTATCATGACTACCATGGTATTCTGGTTGACGATGAAGAAAAAGTGTTAATTCAGAAAAACTTGGGACCTAAAAGCAAGGTCAGTTATTCCATACATAGGTCAATATTAAAAGAAAATAGCGATTTTTTTTTTTTAATTGGAAATGGGAAGGAAGGGAGGTATGTTTGTTTAGTTCTTGGCAGGTAGGTTTCTTGTAGCAGCTCATATTCCTTGCAATGTCTATTTCTTCTAGGTCCTTATTCTCAGAAACCATGGCTTGGTATCAGTTGGGGAGACCGTTGAAGAGGCTTTCTACTATATTCATAATCTAGTAGTTGCCTGTGAGATTCAAGTAAGAATCTTAATATATTATATAATGAATCTGCTATCTATAACAACATGATACGTAACCTTCAAACAGATGGATAGTTGAATGATTAAGAAGTGACAGTTTCAATCTAAACTAAAATGTGGTTTAATTATTTTTAAGGTACGTACCCTGGCCAGTGCAGGTGGGCCTGACAACTTAGTGCTGTTAGACCCTGGAAAATACAAAGCCAAATCTCGTTCTCCTGAGTCTCCAGCAGCTGAGGGTACTGTATCCCATCCAAAATGGCAGATTGGAGAGCAGGAGTTTGAAGCCCTTATGCGAATGCTTGATAATCTGGTAAAGCAAATAACATCATATCTAATGAGTTTTTATATGATGAATGCAAAGTTCTTTCTTAAGTGCTATAAAGAAACTAAGATTTTTTTCAGGTTTTTTGATCATGTTTTACTTTTTTTTTATTTGCTGACAAATTTGATTCTTGAGATTCCAAAATACTAAGTTTTTCTTAGGTTAGTGTCTAGGCTATAATGTGAAAAAAGAACCATGTAGGTTAATTCATTTATTAATCTTTAATCTAAGTATTTAAAGCTTCCATGTAAGATAGAATAGTCAGTTACGGCCTGATTCAAAGCCCACTAAAGTCAGTGGAAAGACTCTTCTTGCTGTCAGAGGGCTTTGGATCAGGCCTTAATGTTCATACTCACTAGATTCTGTACCTCTTGTAATACAGACTGGTTCCTTTTGTTAGTTGTGATTGTGGTGCATGCAGCCTCTTCAGATAATAACATGCAGCCCTTTCCTCCTTACCCCTTAACAAAAAGGTGGAGTCTAAAGGTAAACTTGGACTTCTCGGGATGTCACATTGTTAGAGGGGTCTTTGCGTATTAACACAGAATGATGGTCCATATGGCTCCATTGATAGAACATTTGTCTGAGGGTCATAGGTTAAAGTCTACACGATCATTCTGAATAATGCCCAGCAATGACATTGCCTGTGATATAGGTTATGATTCAGACTAAATCTTTACCCAGCTTGAAGCTAGGATATTTTTAGAGAGATTGGGTATTCCCGGTATCTGGAACAATGTTTCCTTCTTTCAACAAAACCATTTCCAGTGTCCAAAGCTCAGTATGAGCAATCACTGAGTGAGCAATCATTGCTATTTCTACAGACAGCCACTACACTAATATGAAAGTTTATTTTATCCTGTGTCCCAATTTGTCTTAAAATCCAGAGCTTCTCTACTAGACTGAGCTGCTTTAATGTATCCTACAAAACTGACATGCTTTGACTAGCCACAAGAGGCTGTTAAAGGGTGATGCCATCAACACCATCTTTCCCTACAGTCCGTGAACCCTCAACCTGGAGAGAGACCAGAGGTTGTTCCGAAACTTTCATCTCCCATGCAACAGCCCTCAATAAACGCCATTTCAACCGTGTGTGTGTGTGTGTGTGTGTGTGTGTGTGTGTG